CGCCGGCCCCGGGCGGCAGCAGCGCGGGCGCGTGGTCGTTCTCGTCCAGCACGAACACCTGCAGCGTCACGGTGCTGCCCAGAGGCGGCGCGCCCGCGTCGCGCGCGCTCACCTGGAACTGCAGCAGCTCCAGCTCCTCGCGGTCCAGGGGCTGCAGCGCGTACACGCGGCCGCTCTCCGCGTGCACGGACACGTAGCTCGACAGCGCGCGCTCGCCCGCCCGCCGCTCCACCAGCGAGTAGGACACCAGCGCGTTCTCCTGCGCGTCCCGGTCGCGCGCCGACACCGTGAAGATGTGGCAGCCGGGCGGGTTGTTCTCCTTCACGAACACCGTGTACTCGCGCTGCGCGAACTCCGGCGCGTTGTCGTTCACGTCGGCCACCTCCACGGACACGCTGGCTGTGGCCGACAGCGAAGGCGAGCCCCCGTCCCGCGCGGTCACCACCACAGCATAGTTCGCCACGCTCTCGCGGTCCAGGGCGCCGTCCAGCACCAGCGAATAGTAATTCTTGAAGGTAGAGACCAGCTTGAAGGGACCATGTGGCGACAGGGTGCAGGTCACCTGCCCATTGGCGCCAGAGTCATGGTCAGACACGCTGATCAAGGCAAGGACTGTGCCCACTTGAGCATCCTCTCGAACCGGGAGTGAGAGCGAAGTGACCGATACCTTGGGTGTATTGTCATTGCGGTCTAAAACTTCCACCAGGACTGTGCAGTGACCTGCCATGGAAGGAATCCCTTTATCAATGGCGTTAACATAAATTTCATATTCATTATTCTCTTCAAAATCCAGTTTCCCAAAAGTTCTGATTTCTCCTGTTTCTGGATTTATTGAAAACATGCATTTCTCACTCGCTGGCAAAATCATTCTGATTCCATAGGAAATTTCTCTGTTCAGTCCTTCGTCTCGATCAGAAGCGTTTAGCTGAATCACTCTCGTGTCATTTGGGACATTTTCAAACAGCACCACTTTATAGCCAGGCTTATCAAACTCCGGAGCATTGTCATTCACATCCAGGATGGTTATCTGAATAGGAACAGAGCCTGTTAGCTCGGGTTTACCGCCATCCAAGGCGGTCAGCAATATATGAAGTTCTGGCGTTTCCTCTCTATCCAAGGACTTCTGAAGAACCAGTTCAGGCAATATACTTTTATCGTTTTTCGTCATTATTTTGAGAGTAAAATACTCATTTAGACTTAACCTGTAAGTCAGAAGAGAGTTTACCCCGATATCCGCATCAGACGCGCCCTCTAGAGGAAAATGCGAGTCCAGAGGCGCAGATTCAGAAATAAGTACCTTCTGTTCTCCGCTGAACTCCGGCGGGTTGTCGTTAATGTCCCTCACCTCCACCTCCACGTGGAAAACCCGCAGCGGCCTCTCCACGATCACCTCCAGGTGGATGCTGCACTCCGCGCGGCGCCCGCACAGCTCCTCGCGGTCGATCCGAGAATTCACGAACAAAATGCCATTCTGCAGATTCACCTCCAGAAGGTCCCCGCGGCCCTTGGGCGCCACGCGGAACAGGCGCGGCACCAGCTCCGCCAGCTCCAGCCCCAGGTCCTGCGCGATGCGGCCCACGAAGGCGCCGTGCTTGGCCTCCTCGGGGACCGAGTAGCGGACCTGGGTGATCCCAGCCTCCCAGAGCGAGAAGAGCAGAAGCGACAGGAGCAGGCGCCGGGTCCCCGTGCCTCCTCGCCAGGTAAACACCATGGCAGACGCGGAGACCTCTGAGGCTGGAGGGTCAGTTTTAAGGGATCGCCGGTCAGGAGCCTTTAGGAGCAGTCAGTCTCCCTCTGCTGTAAGTGCAGCTCGTCAATTTCACCCACAATTCCGGTTGATGTGGAGTCGATCCTATTCTGTGAATGGTTGGAATCCGGGCTCCGAGGCAAAAATTTTCCCTTTCCACCTTTTGAGCATACAGCGACATCATGTGACTGATTGTGTACGTACAAGGAAGATCCTGAGGTTCTTTTTAGTTTAGCCACTTCCCAGGTCACTTTATGTTGTTTCTTTTGGATACTTTCCACGTTTGGATACTTTCATGGATCATTTGTAAGTGCCTTTTTTTAAACATATGATATTAGAGACAACACACAAATGTTTCCATCATTACGCAGTTTTTTAAAAATATTCTGCTTCAAAGTCTATCGTAAAATAATAATTGACATGGGTATGTCAGAAGCTACTGTTTAGCTCTCATGAAGAATTAAATAAAGAAAACTGTCATCACTCCTGCCACTATCATTTATAATCCTCCCTTGCAATGACTTTTATCCTGCAGAAGCACTTCACCAGAGGACTTCAGGAGAAAGGAAAGAATTCCCTCATTTAGTAACGGAAAAGAAACTTAATATTTCATTCATTCATATAAATTATTTTATTCATAAATCTGGTGAATATTAGAATTCATCATAAATATGGAAGATGTCATTGTTGTTGGTTCCTTGATGCTCAAATATGATGACTGTACAATTGTTCTCATTCCCATAATATGTTAAGATGAGGATTGAGTACAGATTCTGGAAAGTTTTACTCTAGCAGCTCTAACGCTTTTCATGTAAAATGTTAACGCCTTCAGATTTCACAATATTCTAAAGTGGTGGTGGAGTTCTCATGAAATGTTTTGGAGCCTAAGCTTACTGACTAAAGTCAAAAGAATATTAGCTTCATAATAACCTTTTGGTTTCCCTCTAAATTTTTCCCTTCAGGGCACTTACCAGTTACTCAGAATATGCCTGTCTTCAAAAAATTAGGTGACTATGATGAAAAGGAAAATTAAAAAAAACTCTTCAGAATTTTATTTATTAATTCAAGACCAGTTTTAAGGGGAAATAAAACTGATAGGCTCCCACAGCTAGGTGTAAACAAGTAAATATAGATTTTATAAACTCACTAAAATTCAAGCAAAAAAATCTTTAAACCAATAATTTGTCACCATTCCTTCCATGTATAATAATAATAATGATAATAAAGGGAACTGAGATATGAAATCTTTATAAAACCAGAAAATGATAACAAAGAATGGTTCTACAATTATAAGATAACAAGTCAACTATAAAACTGGCTCTTAATTAATCAAAAATACTGATTAATTTTGAATTTGATGCTATCAAAATATTAAATTTTCTAGTATCACCCTCAAGCTTCTTTATTTTCTATCTTCCATTTTCAAAAATAGTCAATGTACCATAAATGCTAAGGAACTTTACTGAAAAAGTGGGGTGTTATGTAGTTCTCACAGACTGTTAGACATAATTAAATTACTAAACAGATAGGAACATCTAAATATAGTTTACTACCTAAACAACTGAACCAGAAAATAGGTTGAAATGATAATTTTACAATTGAGAATATAATCCTGAAACTGAATAAGTGTAAGATCACTAAATTTGTAGAAGTTAGTTAACACATTAGAAATGTCAAAAATGTGCATTGATTACTTATGTACTGTAAATACAATGATTTTCACAATTTAAAACTACTTAAAATATTCCAGTATCTTTGTTTATTAGATTTAAATGGCCTTGGGTCATTCCAAGAACTTTGTTTGGAAATGGGCAATAATGTACACCCTACCTAACATGTGCCTTTATGATATTTACAGTTTCATAAAAGATATGATGATTAAATCACTTTTGAGTCTGAAATATTTTATATTTTAATCTGGTTGCCTACTTTGAAATAAAGAATGTTTTTAGCCAATTAATATTGAAGTACAAAGGTTCATAGCCAGAGGTCCAAGAATGTGTTTCAGCACAGGTCCTTCAATATTATGCCAAATGGTATGCTGTGTAATTTTACGGGGAAAATGGCCACATGTGACTTTTGTTGGATTCCCAAAGAGGTCAGTGATTCCACCACCTTACATGTAGCTAAGAACCACTGAATTAGAAAAATGACCTAGAGGTAAGTGATCTTTGCTAGAATCTTCAGATGTAATCATACCAAAATAGAGATAATTTCACAAACATTAGCGATAACACATTGAAAGATAGGAAATTTAAAAGGTAAGATGGATGAAACTGATCATTGCCCAGAGGCTTCACATTATTACAGTTAACTTTTCCTTTCTAGATAAACCTAAAAAAAATAAACCAGGAAAACTGACAACCAGCATGTTTTGCAGGTATTACAAGCCTACACACATGCCTTTAGCAAATTTGAATGACTTGATTAACATAAATGACTTTATTTGCCTAGTTTACTTAGGAAGCATAAATCTAGGAGTTCTGGTTGAGCATGTAGTAGATAAATATCTACCTATTTAATGGAACAAAATAAAAAATGAACAGAACTATTAATTATATCATTTCAATGAAAGCAGCATACTAGAAAGCAGGGCTGCACTGGCTTTTAATCCTCACCTGAGGCTATTTTTTCCGTTGCTTTTCAAAGGGGGGGGGAGAGAGAAACATCAATGTGAGAGACCCCAAGGATCAGCAGCTTCCAACAGGAGGGATCGAGCCTGCAACCGAGGTATGAGGTACGGGTCCTTGGCCGGAATCGAACCCAAGACCCTTCAGTCCGCCCGCCAACACTCTAACCGCTAAGCCAAACTGGCTAGGGCTAGGTTGCATTTTTAATGCAAATAATATTAAAGCAAGTTTTATCTTACCAGTAGGGTCAAAACTAAAGATTATCTAATGCCCATTAAATGTATGATGAATGTTTAACAACTCAGAAAAAGAAAAATAAATTTTTTCAACCCTAATAAAGAGAGTGTTCTATCTTTGATACCAGCCTAAAGTGAGATAAGTCAAGTGATCTAATTATATAAAAATATCAAGGCAAAAGGCTGTTAAAAGACAAAGAAAATGAGAATCCATAGTGATCATCTACATTAATAAGGATTAGAGATAAAATAAAGTGACCTGAGTATATCGGTGATAATTAGAAATATTTCTAATGAAGTGATCATGGGAAAGTCAAGCTTGCATTTTCTAACAAAACATTAGGAAAAATGGGACATTTACTGGCTACAAAAATGGGATTCTTCGTATGATCAAATTGTATTGCCTGGCTGGTGTGGCTCAGTTGGTTGGAGCATCGTCCTGGGCACCAAAAGGTGGTGGGTTTGATCCAGGTCACCGCACATACCCAGGTTTCCGGTTCCATCCCTGGTTGGGCGGGTGCCTAAGGCAACTAACCCATGTCTCCCCCCCCTTCTCCCCATCCACCTTCCTCTCTCTAAAAATCAATTTAAAATTTTTTAAGTGAACTTGATTTTTTTAATTCTATGTATCATGTGGCATTTCACTATCATTGTTCTTTAAAAGAATACTCAAAATACACAACATTCATTAAAATTTTCAATGAAATAAATTAGATTTCTAAAACTTTAACTTAGACTTCAGAATAGAGAGAATCTATAGAACTCACGTGCTCAAGAGGATTTGATCCTGCCTCCTGCCTTTCCACTCCATCTTTATCCAGACTCGGAGGGAGGCTGGGGCTGAAGGCCATGAGGTCCGTCTTGGGCGCGCCCTCCCCAGAGCACACCCGCGGCCGCCTCTGCTGCGAGGCCGACCAGCTGCCCCCCGCGCCCGGGCACACCAGCCTGGGCTGCCCCGGCCCGCACGCGCCCCCGCTCGGCGCCGCCGAGCACCGCACGGCCGTGTACAGCAGCAGCGTGAGCACCAGCAGGCTGGACACCGCGCAGATGGCGACGATCAGGTACACGTTCACGTCCACCAGCGCCGCCTCCGAGCCCGCGGCGCCCGCAGACGCCGACACAGAGGCCTTGGGCGCCTGGCCGCCGTCCACCAGCGACAGCAGCAC